GGGTTCCTGGTGGAGGCTTTCCCAAAGAGTTTGATGCCCTGAAAGGTTTTCCTGGGGAGGGTCCTGATCCACCAAACTCGCAGAGTTGCTCACCACATTGGTCCCTCTCTACTGCCAACATTGGCAGTTTGAAAACTTCTACCTTTTGGCAGTCCAATTTTGACACGGTTTATTGTCTTCAAGAGACCCGCATAGGCCGCAACAACTTCCGTTCTTCCTTGAAGCAGGTGCAAGCAACCAACCGTTCTTTGTTTTGTGGGGAACTCCTGTCGGGTATTATTAGGTCTGACGGACGCCACGTAACTATGCACGGCGGAACCGCCATTTTGGCCCCCGAAGCCATTGCCCGTGCTTTTGACCCCAAAGATGACCTTACCGATAATTATGCGGAAATCTTCAAGTCCAAGCGCGTCAATGCGTGTTGGATCCAGGTTACTACTACTGTTCGTGCTTTGGTCTTTTCGGTGTATGCCAAAACCGGCGCATCGGCATCCCCTGAAATCATGGAGTCCAACAACCATTTGCTGGAAAAAAATTTCCTTATTGCTGCGCAATTCGGCAACATTCCCATCATTGTGGCAGGGGACTTTCAGGCCAACCCCTTGGCGTATCCCACTGTTGCACATGCCATTCACTTTGAAGGGTGGGTAGATCCTCTCGCATCTGTTGATGCCGAAGGCCAGCTTTTTCGACCGATCACCTTCTCACTGGATGGCACCTTCACTGGAGAAGGAGAGGGGTGCTCGTCCATCGATGGAATCCTGTTGAATAGGGTTGCTTTTGCTGCTCTTCAATCCATCGATGTTGTTGCGTTGCATGGTATTCAACACCGGCCAATCCGTGCTTCTTTCGCTTGGGCCCCAATCCACCAAATCGGGGAGGTACAGGCTAAATTTGCGGCCCTTGACCACTCCAAGTGGACTAGACAACCTGAGGGTGTACATACACAGCAACATCAAGCTGCCGCTGCACTCTGGGATGACTCTTTTGCGGAAGTTTTCTCCCAAACGGCTGATTTCCCTGACAAATGGCAGCTTGTGAACGATTTTTGCCTTCGCACACTCTTGGACAACGGATCTGTTTGGGGGTGTGGTGCCCGTAAACGAGGGTTGCTCCCTGTTTTCACGAAAAAGCGGGTTTGCCCTGGCCAGCTCCCTTCTGGTTCCGCTGTTACATTGAAGGGTTCTCGCCTCTTCAAAACTTTGCGTCAATTGTGGGAACTGGAGACCCGGCTTCTCAGACCTTCTAATACCCTCAGGGATGCTATCATTTTCCAGCGCACCACCAAGAAAGTGTGGCATTCCCTTAGGAACCTCCAATCACCGTTTCTTTGGATCAACCCGTTTGCCGTGACTCTCGTTGACATTTTTCATAACATCCACTGGGTCAAAAACGAGGCCCATTAATTGGGAGCTCAAAAAGAAGAATGCCCGCATTTCGGCTTGGAAATCCAGCATCCGTGAATCTGCCAAAGGGTCCAAACAGTTTATTTTCCATCATCTCAAAAACAAATGCTTGGACGAACCCGCCAATTTAGTTCTTGATTTTGATGGTAACATCATCTTTAATCCCCAAGAAGCCATCTCTACTATCGCTAGTGATTGGGACTCAATCTTTAGTGCCAACACGCTCAGACATGATCCTGTGCAGATGCTCAATGTTGTGTGGCCATACCTGGACCACAACCTACCCCCCTGTGAACTTCCTGCTCTTACAGGAGCTGACATTGAGGAAACCATCCTGCGTAGGAACCCACTTGCCGCTCCTGGCCTTGATGGGTGGCGCACTTGTGATTTGCAGATGTTGCCGAGAGCATGTTGCAATGTGATCGCTGACTTCTTTTGTGCCTTGGAAGAAGACTGCAACGCTGTTATGCCTGATGTCCTAACCCGCGCAAAACAGGCCATCTTGAACAAGCCGGGTCCTTCTTCTCCCTTAAACAAAAGACTAATCACGATTCTTTCTCCTATGCTTTTAGCTTATACTGGAACAAGATTTCGTCAGCTGCAGCAATGGCAGAATACTGTTTTCCCCAAAGTTTTGTGTGGGGGCATTCGTCATCGCGACATGTCCGATATCAGCACGGAAATCCGGCTTGAAGTTGATGAAGCGATCGCTTCTGATGATCCACTTGTTGGCATCAAGCTTGACCAATCTAAATGCTTTGACAGAATTGTTCCGGACTCTGCTGCGGCCCTTTTCTTGGCCTTTGGACTACCACGGGGTGTTGTGAATGTTTTCGTCGAAATGTACGCTTCTCTGAAACGGCACCTGTCCTACAGGGGTTGGGTCTCTAGTACCGCTACAACTGCCGCCAACGGTGTTGCACAGGGCTGCAGCTTGTCTCTACTAGCGATTAATGTACATATGGCGGTTTGGTCAAAGTTTATTGCACTTCTTCCTCATGTTGCATGTAGGGTCTTCATTGACGATGCGTATCTTTGGGTTCGACTTTCTCGCATCCATTGTTTGAGAACGGCCTTACAGGTTACTGAACAGTGGAACTTACTAATTGGCCAAAAGTTAAGCCCGGACAAGAGTTCCCTTTGGGCCACTAATTCCAAAGCCAGGAAGACTGCCAAACAACTGTTCCCATCCATTCCTGTTGTCCTGGAGTTCGATGCACTAGGGGCTAAGATCTATACTGCCCAACGGAGCGCATTCCAATTTCCCGACCACAAGGCTGTTAAGATTTGCAATGATGCAAAGAACATCGCAGCTCTCCCAATACCCCTTAAGGTCAAATGCCAGCTGATCGCATCTAAAGTCATACCCCAATGTACTTTTGCTGCTGACATTTCCTCGATTCCGAAACTGACTTGTGCAAAGATCGAAAACGAAATCGCCAACACCATTTGGGGGCGGCGACCCCATTGGAGGGCTCGGATGCTCCCTTTTTGTGCAACCCGTGCTATGTGCACCCACGGGTTGCCAGAGCCTATGTCACTGTTCGGAATCTTTGGCGTGCCATTCATCGACATCCTTCCTTGTTAGAGCGCCTGCAGGACTTGTTCCATGTTTCTGTTAACCGGAAACACTCACTTCTTGCACACTTTCGTGATGCTTTGACTGTGTTCAAGTGTACCTTGTTGCCAAATATGAATATTGGTTTAGGAGCCTCGCAGCTTTCGATTCTTGACATCTCCCCTAAAGACTTGAAAGGGCTCCTTCACACCTTGGGAAGGCAATTTTGCTATGACTCAGTCAACTACAATTCACGGAAAGATGTCAAAAAGCCTTCGGGATTTCTGGATTTTGGGCTCTCAACTGCCTTCAAAGGTACATCACCGTGTAGTGCCCCCAATAACACTTTGGTTGCGCATTTTGACGCACAAATCGTAGGTTGCACGATAACCAATGATCGTCGTGCGGCAGCGGGCTTCATTGAGTCCTCTGCCTGCCGCTACTGCCACGACACTAAGGAGTCGTTGCTTCACATTGTCCGCGAATGCCCAGCAGCGCCCAACTTCATCACCTGCCTCCAGAGCCATGAATTGGGGCCAAATTTTTGCGGTCTAGGCATAGTTGAACATCCAAACAGCGTTGTCACTCATCGAATCCAGATTTCAACGCTGCCAAGTTATGAACAGGAGCTCTTTGATCCCAACGCACCAGGTGTGGTGTGGTTTTCCGACGGTTCCGTCTTACTGCGAGAATCGTACTGGTTGACCACAGCTGCGTTCGCCATTTATGACAGAGATGAACGCTTGATCCAGTCTGGGCCAGTTAAGCATGTGGCACTTGCGTCTTACGCTGCAGAGCTATAGTCATCATTGCGCCTGCGCGCCTTCATCTTGTTACGGACTGCCAGACAGTTGTTGACTTGTTTGCCAAAATGTGTGCGTGTCACAATATTCCTGAGCATTGGAGTCATCGACCCATCTGGCTAGAGATCCAACGTGTTTGGAGGCTTAAGCAACGACAATGTGAGCAACCTGTTCAGATTGAGTGGATGCCCGCACACACCTGCGATCACAAACCATTTCTTGCCATTGACCCTGCGGAGATCTTTGTTAACGGCTGCCCCGGCTGGAAGGTCAGAGCGAATCGATTAGCTGACGAGGAGGCTAAACGCGTGGCCTCTCAACAGGCTATCATCAATGTGGACCTATGGCCAGAGGTCTTCGCTGCTGCACACCGCCGTCAAGCTGCCTTGGTTTCCTTGAATCAGATCATTGGGTCTGAGGGCATTGTCAAGAAGGTTTTCCGAACCATCGAGGAGGACCAACAGGCCGATTGCTGTGACGAACACAAGTCTCGATTCCCAACATGGGACTGGCATGCTGTTTCCACTGACTTTGACTGGCAGCCTAAGAAGCATTGTCCTGTTTTGGTAAACCTTAACACCATATGCTCTGCAGAGGATGCTGAGATTTTTGGGCAATTCTTGCTCTCGTTGCGCTGGAAACTTGACTCCGACATGTCTGTTGCGTATGTTGAGATTGCTCATATACTCTTGTCGCGACATTTTTCTCTCACCTCGTTTGAGACCACGGACACCTTTGGATCTCTGGTCAGGAGTGTCAAGAAATGGTGTTCTGCGATTTTTGCAATCGAGGGTCAATGTCTCCTGCCGGGCATACATAAACGCGATGGCCATCATGTTTGTGGCTGGGCCCTGCCACGGGGGGCCATTTTTGGGGCACGACCCTACATCAGTGAGCAAGAACTCCGGCATTTTGCCGATCTACTTTTTGCTGGTGCGAGCAATTCCTTGCTCTCCTGGTGCTTCGCTATCGGTGATCACGGTGCCTAATTTGTTTGTGTCCCTGACACGTCTCATTTGCTCCTTTTTTCACTACCCGTCCAGAGTGACGATAGTGATGCTTAGGTCAGTCGACTGGGCAGATTTGGTGGAACAAGAAGCTACTAGTAACAAGTGCATCGCTACTAGTAACAAGTGCCTTACTAGTAGTAACAAGAAGCTCGTAGGAACGGTATATATATACATACATACATACATATATATATATATGCACACCAGACATGTCCTGCGCGAGGCTGGGAGCAGGTTGCAGAGGTGCTTCACGCGAGAGTTCGGGTGAGGCTTTACCGCTCACTTGTGGTGGACGACATCGCATACTAGTGGCAGACTGAAACATTGCACATTGCTGCAGGGACTGGTGCGCTGTTGTGTGCGTGAAGGTATGGTGCAAGCCCAATGGTCCGATTCCAGAACCCCCTTGATGCTGTGACGCTTGCAGATGCCATGCCAACGGTTTGCAGATGCAACTCCGCGGGCTGACTGAGCACGCAAGTAATGCCTCAACCAGATGCAGCTCCTCAAGCCCCGACTGCTTTAGAAAAGGAGTGAGAAATGCCGCCAGTTCTGCCTTTCAGCCGTCATGATTTCTTGCATTGAGAGATGGGGTGTGCATTATATAAGAGGGAGACCTCCCAAAGCCTTCGTGGAAGAAGGAGAATCGACCAGAACCCACTGGTTGGGGTTGAGATGTGCTTGTCCTGTTTTTCTCTCAAGGTGGACCCAGGAGACCCAGGAGGCACTAGCAGAACAGCCACTTCAAAAGCAGAACAGCTTAGTAGACATCCTAGACGTGAAGCTCTAGAATTTCGCCATCGCATACTGTTCTGTACAAATGTTAGGGAACAGGAACATTACTCTAACTAAAAAGAGTCGAGGCATGTTGAGAGTTGCCCAGCCGCTCAAAAGCCTCATCAAGTCACAAGTCTTTGTTTGTAGAGACATTTGCGTGAACAGTCGTTGACGCATGGGTTTCGATGGTGTCAAAACGTGACACAACGATGGAGAGTTTGCTCTCCCGTGCTGCTCAACATTTAATGGGCACTCCGAAGCAAGCTGGTGAAAAGCAGGTGAGTGAGACACAGCGGGCTCTCGCCAGTCATGGGGATTCTCTCAAGTCTTTGATAAGTCACGTGCTGCTTAGCATAGTGACTTCCGAACAGGATAAGGAAATTGTTCAGGTCAGAAGGAGTGGAAGCTTGTATCGGCGGCTTGATGACTTGAACAAGTACACCATCTTCCAAGAGATCCCGCTACCATTGAAGGAGAACCTGGTGCATTTGGGGCTCAGGGAAGAGCTGCTGAACCGCGCCATGGGTTCCATGCTCGGCATGGCTGTGGGTGACTCCTTGGGTCATCCCTTTGAGTTTTTGCCAGTTCAAGATCGGCCTGTTGGGCCACACTTTGATTTTGGGAAGTTCGAATTTATTGATGCATCCAACGCTTTCCAGCTGAAGCGTGGCCAATGGACTGATGATGCTGCCATGGGCCTTTGTATGGCCGACTCATTGATTTTGAAACGGGACTTCGATGGAAGTGACATGAGAGTTCGATTCTGGTGCTGGTGGAATCGAGGCTACAACAACGCCTTTCGCAAGGACCCCACCCGAAGCTCGTCGGTGGGCTTGGGTGGGAACATTGCCAAATCTTTGAACGACTTGTCCCATTTGTTGCCTGGAGAATTGCCACCGCCTGCCTTCAAAGCTGCCACAGAAGATGCAGGGAACGGGAGCCTCATGCGTTTCACGCCCGTGGCGATTTTCTTTCATGCTGCTCCTGTGGAAGAGTTGCTTCACTTTGCCAGACTCTCATCTTACACCACGCACCCGGGAATCATTGCAGCTGAAGCTTGTGCATTCCTTGCCTTCCTGATCATGCGTGCCTTGACTCGGAAAGGCCCTGAAAGCTCCATGAACGCCAAGCAGTTTCTAGAGAAAACCTCCCAGGAATACCTCAAGGTGTCCGGCCTGGAGAAGCAAAAAGGTTGGGGATATGACCAAATGATTTGGCTTGTTCAGTCACACCCAATCAATCCCACTGAGAGATGTTGGGATTGGAAGTCTCCAGATCTTGATATTGCTGGAACCTTGCGTGCACGAGGGCGCACATACAATGGCTATCCAGTTTCTTCTGGTTACTTTGGCTCATACTCCTTGGATGGCTTGGCTCTGGCCCTTTGGGCCTTCTATCACACGACTACTTTTGACGATGCAGTTGTAAAATCAGTGAATTTGCTTGGTGACGCTGACAGTCATGGTTCAATCACAGGGCAGCTGGCTGGAGCCTTCTATGGATACAGCAGCATCAGTCCCAGATTCGTCGACTGGGTCGCACGCTGGGATGACCATGAGTTTGCTTGCCGTGGGGCGATTTTAGCACACCTGGGCGCAAGGGCGGCGGTCGATGCGGCGCGCACGCCGCAGGTCACATCCCTGTGACGTTTTTTCCGCCCAGACACCGCTTGTGACATGGCTAGTTTGTTTTGAGAACAGGTGAAGGTCCCCCCCAAAAATGAGGCAATATTATATAATAACACACACACACACACGAGCACACACTCACATATAATCACATATATATATATATTTATGGGGCACAAAGCACTTTCCCAAGCTAGTGTTGTACATCAAGCTGATGGGCACAGGACCCCGACGCATTCGAAGAACCCCAAAGCGGGACTGCAACCCTGAGCGATTGGAAGAAAAATGGGCTTCCTCGAGCTTAACAAAGGTTTTTCACTGGTCAAACGCGGGCAAGATGGTGGTTTGACCGAGCAGCTCGACCGAGCAGATGGGGGGCCGTGCCTGCTGTTCCGTTTGGGCCGAGGAGTGGAGAGAGGCAGCCTATAGCCGCCCTAGCCAGACACGGCTCTCTGCAGACACGGCTGAAAAGAGCGGAGTTTGACGTTTCCTACCTTTGCAATTGACACTTTGCAGGCTGGACATTTTTTAACATTTGTTTTGATGAGGGGGTGAGTCACTCCGAATTTGATTTGGGTCCATGGAGTTGCTTCGTCGACCTGATCACTTTCATTCTGCTTGCCATCAGCAGATGGCAAGCTATGCCCTAGTCACTCTAGTCATGCTAAGCCCTTGTGGTAGTGCTGTCAAGCAGGGTGGGGAAGCAGAGCCAATTGCAAGACTGTTTAGACATGCACGTTTTGGCCAATGAGGAGATGTTACTCTGTTGCCCCAAGTTTCGTGCCTGAAAAGGAGTTACTGTAGATTGTTTTTTTTGCATCATGAGTTGTCACTTGATGTCGCTTGTTGGTAGAGGATTTTATGATGACTAAGGCGCAACCGGACAAGCCCGACCAGGCTGCATTCTCAGTTAAGTTGGGTTGTCACCACAAGCCAGAGCTTGTGATGTTTATAAGGCTCACGTTCTTATTGAGTTTATTATTGTATATCGTTGATATCTATCTATAATTAATCTATCTATCTAATCTAATCCAATCTAATTTTATCTTATCTATTCTTATCTATATAATCTGATCTAATCTTATCTATATAATCTGATCTAATCTTATCTATATAATCTGATCTAATCTTATCTATATAATCTGATCTAATCTAATCTTATCTAATCTTATCTAATCTTATATATCTATTCTTATCAAATCTTATCTATTCGTATCTATTCCAATCTATTCCCATCTATTCCCATCTATTCCAATCTATCCCAATCTATCCCTATCTATTCCAATCTATCCCTATCTCTTCCTATCTATCCCTATCTATCCCTATCTATCCCTATCTATCCCTATCT